ACAGTGGAGGTGACGGAGGCTCAGGTGTATAACAGAGGAGGTGTGGAGGCTCAGGTGTATAACAGTGGAGGTGATGGAGGCTCAGGTGTATAACAGAGGTGACGTAGGCTCAGGTGTATAACAGTGGAGGTGACGGAGGCTCAGGTGTATAACAGAGGAGGTGATGGAGGCTCAGGTGTATAACAGTGGAGGTGACGGAGGCTCAGGTGTATAACAGGAGGTGATGGAGGCTCAGGTGTATAACAGAGGAGGTGACGGAGGCTCAGGTGTATAACAGTGGAGGTGACGGAGGCTCAGGTGTATAACAGTGGAGGTGATGGAGGCTCAGGTGTATAACAGTGGAGGTGACGAGGCTCAGGTGTATAACAGAGGAGGTGACGGAGGCTCAGGTGTATAACAGTGGAGGTGATGGAGGCTCAGGTGTATAACAGTGGAGGTGATGGAGGCTCAGGTGTATAACAGTGGAGGTGACGGAGGCTCAGGTGTATAACAGTGGTGGTGACGGAGGCTCAGGTGTATAACAGTGGAGGTGATGAGGCTCAGGTGTATAACAGAGGAGGTGACGGAGGCTCAGGTGTATAACAGTGGAGGTGATGGAGGCTCAGGTGTATAACAGTGGAGGTGATGGAGGCTCAGGTGTATAACAGGAGGTGACGGAGGCTCAGGTGTATAACAGTGGAGGTGATGGAGGCTCAGGTGTATAACAGTGGAGGTGATGGAGGCTCAGGTGTATAACAGAGGAGGTGATGGAGGCTCAGGTGTATAACAGTGGAGGTGATGGAGGCTCAGGTGTATAACAGAGGAGGTGACGGAGGCTCAGGTGTATAACAGTGGAGGTGATGGAGGCTCAGGTGTATAACAGTGGAGGTGATGGAGGCTCAGGTGTATAACAGTGGAGGTGACGGAGGCTCAGGTGTATAACAGTGGAGGTGATGGAGGCTCAGGTGTATAACAGAGGAGGTGACGGAGGCTCAGGTGTATAACAGTGGATGTGACGGAGGCTCAGGTGTATAACAGTGGAGGTGATGGAGGCTCAGGTGTATAACAGAGGAGGTGACGGAGGCTCAGGTGTATAACAGAGGAGGTGATGGAGGCTCAGGTGTATAACAGAGGAGGTGACGGAGGCTCAGTGTATAACAGTGGAGGTGATGGAGGCTCAGGTGTATAACAGAGGAGGTGACGGAGGCTCAGGTGTATAACAGTGGAGGTGACGGAGGCTCAGGTGTATAACAGTGGAGGTGATGGAGGCTCAGGTGTATAACAGGGGAGGTGACGGAGGCTCAGGTGTATAACAGAGGAGGTGATGGAGGCTCAGGTGTATAACAGAGGAGGTGACGGAGGCTCAGGTGTATAACAGTGGAGGTGATGGAGGCTCAGGTGTATAACAGAGGAGGTGACGGAGGCTCAGGTGTATAACAGAGGAGGTGACGGAGGCTCAGGTGTATACAGAGGAGGTGACGGAGGCTCAGGTGTATAACAGTGGAGGTGATGGAGGCTCAGGTGTATAACAGTGGAGGTGACGGAGGCTCAGGTGTATAACAGAGGAGGTGACGGAGGCTCAGGTGTATAACAGAGGAGGTGATGGAGGCTCAGGTGTATAACAGTGGAGGTGACGGAGGCTCAGGTGTATAACAGAGGAGGTGATGGAGGCTCAGGTGTATAACAGTGGAGGTGACGGAGGCTCAGGTGTATAACAGAGGAGGTGACGGAGGCTCCGGGGTCAGAGGCGAAAGGCTTCCCAGCATCCTCGTTGATTGGCGAAGTGATGTCGGCCATCTTGGATTGTAGCGGGGAAGAAAGATTGATGCGGTAAGCTCCTTTTTTACTCCTTAAATTTCTTTTTCTCAGAAACGAGCGACCACAACCTCACTCAGATCACATTCCTCCCATGTTGCCGTTACAACGGTGCCGGACTTTGAAGGGGAGAGGGCGGATACATGTGCATGAAGCCAGGCATCCCGGTTCCGTTTCTTATTGTTGTTGTTTTGGGGGAACTGAGAGACGGAGGCGCTGCAGGCCCAAACCCGGAGGAAACCCCCCCTGTGCCCGCTGGTTCCCTCTGACCGGCGCTCTGTCTGCACAGCCGAGTACGAGCCGCAGTTATTTACCTCCCAGATACAACTCGGACTGCTTCACCTGCTCTGATGAGCTGCACTTTGCTGTTAGCCGCTCAGCTCGAGCATTAGCTCCTATGCTAACGCCCCCATGCATTCATATGGAACTAGCTGTTAGCTCAGAGCGCTAGTCGGTTAGCAGTAGCTCCTGCTAACATTATACATCTCTCGGGTTAATTTGATAAAAGTTGGGATTTTTAATTAGTCTTTAATTAGCAGAAAAGACACTATACCACATCGCTGTGTATAAACCAGTGGGTAGACTTTCATTTAAATGAACGTTCAACCGGAAGATTATCGAAGCTAACATTAGCTTCAAAGGCTAACTTTAGCTAGCATTTTGCGACACTGCCGCAGCTTCAACGTTGCTTTGGAGCTAGTTTTCAGGTTTGTGTGCAGGCTGCATGAAGTTTAGAAGGGTTTTTCAACTAAAACGTGATCTTACTGTATTCTTTACATGATAAAATATATAAAATTGTAATTAGCTGTTGTTCTCTGAGCATCACTGTCTGTAAAATACTTCAGTAAACAAAAGTAAACCGGACAGATTTCTGCTTCCACACGACTGTGGGCTTCATTTCCCAACACTTTAAATGTCTCAGCTGCCCGGTTTCCATCTGGTTTCAGTCCGGTTTCCTTCTGGTTTCAGTCCGGTTTCCTTCTGGTTTCAGTCCGGTTTCAGTCCGGTTTCAGTCCGGTTTCCTTCTGGTTTCAGTCCGGTTTCTGTCCGGTTTCAGTCCGGTTTCCTTCTGGTTTCAGTCCGGTTTCCTTCTGGTTTCCGTCCGGTTTCAGTCCGGTTTCAGTCCGGTTTCAGTCCGGTTTCCTTCTGGTTTCAGTCCGGTTTCAGTCCGGTTTCCTTCTGGTTTCCGTCCGGTTTCAGTCCGGTTTCAGTCCGGTTCCAGTCCGGTTTCCTTCTGGTTTCCGTCCGGTTTGTGTCCGGTTTCCTTCTGGTTTCCGTCCGGTTTCAGTCCGGTTTCCTTCTGGTTTCCGTCCGGTTTCAGTCCGGTTTCAGTCCGGTTTCCTTCTGGTTTCCGTCCGGTTTCAGTCTGGTTTCAGTCCGGTTTCTGTCCGGTTTCCGTCCGGTTTCCTTCTGGTTTCAGTCCGGTTTCCTTCTGGTTTCCGTCCGGTTTCAGTCTGGTTTCAGTCCGGTTTCTGTCCGGTTTCCGTCCGGTTTCCTTCTGGTTTCAGTCCGGTTTCCTTCTGGTTTCAGTCTGGTTTCTGTCCGGTTTCCGTCCGGTTTCCTTCTGGTTTCAGTCCGGTTTCCTTCTGGTTTCAGTCCGGTTTCTGTCCGGTTTCCGTCCGGTTTCCTTCTGGTTTCAGTCCGGTTTCCTTCTGGTTTCAGTCTGGTTTCTGTCCGGTTTCTGTCCGGTGTCAGTCTGGTTTCTGTCCGGTTTCCGTCCGGTTTCAGTCCGGTTTCCTTCTGGTTTCAGTCCAGTTTCCGTCCGGTGTCAGTCCGGTTTCAGTCCGGTTTCTGTCCGGTGTCAGTCCGGTTTCAGTCCGGTTTCTGTCCGGTGTCAGTCTGGTTTCAGTCCGGTTTCAGTCCGGTGTCAGTCCGGTTTCAGTCTGGTTTCAGAGTCAGGTAGAGCTGCAGGTTGTGAAGTGGTTTAATAAAAAGGTTCAGTCAAAGCTCCTCAGGTTGTAGAGCCACGTTTCAACTCCTCTCTCACTAAACTGAACATGAACGTGTTAAGATGCTTGGTGAAGCGTTTCCATAACAAAAGGTTTGTTCATCAGCACTGAAACATCGTCATGTTTTTAATTAGGGCTGGGTATTGTTAATTCAATTTGTTATTCTGATATTTGACAAATAATCATGGGTGCATTAATTCTATTGGCTTAGAACAAACTGACGCCATGATGTAGTTTTTAGACGTTGTGACGTCAGTGTGGCGGCACACGCAGAACTTTAAACTATCAAAAAGTTTTGGTATGACAGAGTTGCCAATGTATTTGTGCAATCTGTAGCGTCCCCAAGCACACTTCACCCTCACAGCCCAGTTCGTTTGACTGGCGTGAGTGCTCAAGCTCGGTACACTTCCTCGACCCGGGCACGCTTGGAAGAGGTTTGCTTCGGCACGGTACGGTTCATGCACGAGCACAAACACGGGTACGCAACGTGGACAACCTTCGTTATGGAATAAAAACTCAAATTGAGCCACAAAGATTAATACATGAGAATTCTCTTTAAATTAAATTAGTAGGAAATGTTTCTTTCCTGCGTAATAAAATACAAAAGCTGATCAGATCAAACTCAACTCCAGTAATTCTAAACCTATTCATTACTTTAATTCAAAACTACTTTAAGAATAAGAATAAAAAGAAATAAGCGTTCTGCATCAATGAAGGGAGGGCTGAATTAGGGCGTTCACACCTGCAGAAAACCTCCTGAAGTGTTTTCAGTCTGAGCGTCATGTGATCACTCAAACATCTGAATGTTTCTCCTCCAGCCTCCTCGTGTTTATTCTGCAGAAAGTCAGAGTGAGCTGACGTGAGAACACAGCAGGATATAATCAGGAGAATTCACCTGGAGCCAGTGGGAGGAGCCAGTGGGAGGGGGTGGTGACCTTTATTCACCTGTGATCGCTGCACGACCATAGACTGTCTGCACGCCACCTCTACCATCTCCGTGCTCTAATCAACCTGCTGCTGCATGTTTCCTGTTCTCCAGGATGTTCTTCTCCTCTCTTTAGTTCACATTGAGATTCTCTTCAACTACACGAAGCACTGATACAAACACACATATTCTCATCATAGAGTCATATGGAGGACTTTGATGCTTCGTTCAAAACTTCCACGTTGTTTTTTTTACGTCATGTCTTACCTGAGGAGACCCCCCCCCCCCTCTTGTCTGACAGGGATAACAAACAGGTCAGGAGGATTTCAGGAACAGTCCTCCTGAAATGATCTAGATATTTTCAGGAGTGCAGATGTGAAAACAGCTTTTGATTAGGCGAGGATCACAGGTTTTAATGGTTACAAAAAGAATCTCTCTGCAGGTTTGTGATTGCAGAGGTTCCTTCTGTAACAGCATCTCGAGACTCTGCAGGTGTGGAAAGTAGGAGCTGATTCCTCCGTTTAAACATGTCCCTGTGTCTGCTCTGTCAGGTGACACGCGGTATGTTTGGTGCTAACCGGAAGAAGTTTATGGAGGGAGGGGTAGAGAGCGACTACTCGGACGACTCCAGCCTCTACTACACCCAACAGTCCATGTTCCCTCCACACCGCCCTGACAAAGACGTGAGTCAACTTTGATTTCAGATTCAAAGCAGCTGCTGGGACAAGTCACACACTAATGTACGAGGTTAGTTATTTATTTTCCCTGCCTGATGTCTATGTGTCTGTGTCGTCTTTAGATGCTGGCGTCTTCCTCTGCTTCCTCAACGGGTCAACTGTCACAGCTCGGAGCCAGTTTATATGGCCCGCAGAGTAAGATGAACACACACACATCTGTTTCTGTCTCATAATCAGAGTCTTGCTCGAGCTTCCTTTATGTTGTCTTTACTCATACAAAATCTAAAACATGATAAGCCTTCAGCTGCATTTAAATCTCAGGAAGTTTCTTGAAGTTTCAAATGAGGCTTTTTAGGTCGGGTACAATCACTTCTATCTGAACCACTTCTCTTGACCGCTTCCATCGCTGCAACACCTGTTGACCTGATAACTGCTCTCATATCTGACAAACAGAGGGGCGTCCAAAACGGCCGTGTGGGGGGTGTCTTAAAAGCGCCTACCTTCTCTGGTCCAAACAAATCCAGAGCATTCAGACCAATAACCACGTGTCTGTTAATCTTGTTTCAGGTGCGTTGGGGTTTCCCATGCGTGGGATGAACAGCAGTGCGGCTCCTCAGTTAAGTCGAAGTGGGTTGAACCAATCGGGCAGTCAGCTCCCCAGTCACGCCAGTACGCCCAACACTGGAACAATGCACACGCCTCCCTCGCCGAGCAGGTAAAAAGCATACACTTTCTCCTCCTTCTCCTCCTCCTCTATGGCTTTTACAGCTCCCTCTTTTCCCCATCTCCACAGGGGGATTCTGCCCATGAGCAGCCGCAGCGTGATGAACCACAGCCAGCAGGTGGGGGGTCCGACGGGTCAGTCGCCAGGGATGGTGGGAGGAGTCGGAGTAGAGAGGGGAGGGGCCGGAGGAGTCGGGACGGGGAGGAGCAGCATGGGGAGTCCCAGCAGGTCGTCACCCAGCATCATCGGGATGCCCAAACAGCAGC